TAGGAATTAGACAGTGAGCGGATAATAATGAAGTTTTATTCTGAAATGAATGACATGTCATGTCCTAAAGGCATTGTTGTAAAAACAGGCTGTTTTGACACCACAGTTTTCAAAACGCATTTCAGTACATCATCTTTTTTTATAGGTTTAAAAGTAGATATGTAAAATCTAAAATCACACGACTTACCAGTTTTCATAGCATATTATGATGATGATCAAAACAAACTAGTACATTTTACATATTTTTTGCTTAAAACTAATGTTGCTGCTACTGCTCACTCTGTGCCCTCTTTGTTGTCGGGGCACAGCTCTGAAACACAGGAAGACAGAAGATAAACTTTAGGATAACACAGAAATCTTGGAGAATATCTGCAGTATTTCCATTTTTCTGATCGTGTGCATTGTACCTTATCTACTTAAAATGATCTGTATAAAAACACAATATTTAAATGTTACACCGTGTGGCAACTTGAGTACGTTCTTGTGTCCGCTTAACACACAGATTCAGCTTTGTTTTTATTTATTTTAACAGTCATTTTACTGAAGACTCACTGACCTGTTTTGCCGTCGTAGCTGTGGAAGTTCTCTGGGAAGCTCAGACACCCAACTTGAAAATGTCAACATCTTCAGGATCAATTTTTCCATTCCTTGCTGGAAAAAGGGTTGAAACTCAGAGATGAATTGTAAAATCTGATGAGGAACATACTGAACTGCAGGATGTATCTACCGGTGACGTCTCCATTTTGAAAGGTGTCCGTCCACAGCAGGCAGTCGGAGCAGCTCTGAAGGATATGACCTTTGTGGTCTGACAGATTTTCTTTAAAGACAGCAGAGCGACTGATTATATTTTTCACATGAGATCAATTTCCAATGCTCCTACTGTAATCTTGTTAATAGCATGCTAGAGAAATAAGCTGCTTTACCTTATGTCAGGAGTTACTTACTGCGAAATGTGGTGGCGATGCCTGAGACTGTTGCATTCACCTCCCCTGAGATACACCGATTACTGGGAAACAAGAAGATGCTGGGCCAGAGTTTTGTTTTTTCAAAAGCTTCACATTTAAATAGTAAAACAATTGGTTCATTGTTTTATACCACATTTCATTCTGCAATGTTAAACTGATTTTTACTCTTATATTTTATAAATACTGCTGCTACTAACAGCGATGTGTTCTTCTGTAAATTGAAATTATTTGTATTATTCTTGTTTTAAATACTATGTGCATGCCTTTTATCTAATATTGTCCTCTCTATCTTGCTGTAACAATGTACATTTTCCCTGTGTGGAATGATTAAAGGAATGTATATCGTTTTTATCCACTACATTTATTCAATACCTTAAGTTACTTTGCAGATTTGGATTAATGATAGAAATATAATCAAAACTTACACCTGGAGTAAATTCACAAGCTACCCTGCCGTATACAAAGTAATTTAAATTAGCTATACCTTTATCAGCTGTGATAACATTTGAATGCATCAATAATTATAATCAGAACATAGAATATATATTATTCTGCTAGGGCAATTTGCACAATGAGTACTTTTACTTTTGGTATTGTAAGTTTACTTGAATGCTTATACTTTTGTACTTTTACTGGAGTAACATGTTAAACGCAGGACTTTTACTTGTAACAGAGTATTCCTACACTCTGGTACTTCTTCTTTTACTTAAGTACAATATCTTACTACTTGTCCCACCCTCCAATGCTAAACACATTGTTGTGTCTGCTCAGCTTCTGAAGTTGTGAAGTGGTACTAAAACCTGTGATTGACAGGACATTCGCTACCAAAGACGCTACAGACAGAGGAGGAAGGCGGAGCTGGTGAAGCTCCAGCAGACTCTGACAGCTCTCAACTCCAAAACAGCCTTCTACACCAGGACCAGATGAACTATTATGATACTTACATCAAGACCTGCCTGGACAACCTCAACAGAAAGTAAGTCGTTCATTTACTTCTTGCACTTTGTCAGGAGAAGTTTTTAGAATTATTTATTTTCACTGTGTAAATAATGTCGTGTGGATGGTTTGGTGGATTTCAAAATGTATTGTGTTTATTACTAATGCATTCCTGTGTTTTGTGTGACCAGGAATGCACGCCGATCTATAAAGCTGGACAGCAAAGGAGAATAATAAGCAAGAAGTGGAAGCCCCAGTCTCTGAAGTACACTGGAGCAAGGCTTCATGAGAAGGGAGTCATCCTGGAGATAGAAGGACTTCAGACCAACCAGTGAGTTATCTGATCAGCTTGGTGTTTAATGTAACTCTTTACCATGGCTCAGACTTTGTTACTTACAGTCACACAACTCTTAGTGAAGTTTCTCATTTTAGATTGTGGCATGTAGAGACGTTTTGATTACCGTGTCGATGAACACATCTATCCTCCAATCAACCTTTATATCATTAACAAAAAATGTGTGTGGGTTTTATCCAAACAAGATTATGTAGTTTCTACATACTTAAGAATATGATTATGTTTTTCCAAGAAGAGGAAAGATGTCTGTTGACTATAATTAACTGGTTCCTGTTACATGTTCTTTGTTCATGCTCTTTATCGTTTTTCTGAGTTGGAAAGTTAGATTGCATCATAGTTTATACATATTTTAACGAAATATACTGTATACAAGGTAGGACAAGGTAGGTGGGGTAGGTAAGTTTGAGAAACCGGCTCGAGATATACTTTTGTTATATTCCAATGGAATGCTACTTAACATCCCGATAGCAATGATATCCTTAAGTGCTTTTGACAAAAAAATCCATAAAAGATTTCATCTGTGGTAAGCCGTAGTACTGTATAAAGGCACGACCCAATCATTTAGCCGGCCCGGCTAAATAACTGGATGGCCTACCTGCCTGTCAGCCTTCCATCTGTGCACAAACTTATCTCGTGCCCTCATTGGTCCATGTGCGCGTTCGTGTTGTGTGTTGGAGGAGGGGCTCTGTAAAGGAAGTGGCAGATTTTTTCCGGCTGTGTATTTTCAAATTCTAGCACACTCGAGCTGGTTTCTCCAAAATGACCTACCCCACCTTTAAATGTAAGGCAGGACAGATATCAAATATATCCAAGCTAATTTAAGCTGATTTGAGTCCTGTGAAAAAAATGACTTGTATTTTTTTAGTTTTTGTTTGTGTTTTTGTTTATATAATAACATGGTTTTTTGCTTTGTTGTCACTTTGTCATTAATCTCTGTCTATTGCTCTCTCTTCTTTCAGGTTCAAAAATGTCATGTTTGACATTTCACCCCACTGAGGAAGTTGAGATTTTCAAGTGAAGGCCAAATTTATGGGAGTTGAGATGGAAACAGTCCAGCTTCATTTCCTGGTATACATTTACCTCTTGATTCCCTGAACAAAGCAGCTCACCAGTCAGCATATGCCTGATGACAGACACTTAAATGCCATTTTTCAACCCATTAGACAATTAAAGAAACAGCGCAAACATTTCTAATGAAGAGGACAGCAGTGGACACATTTGTTTTAATGAATCTGTATGAACAAACATACTGTATAAACAAATGGTGTGCATAGAGACCGGGCTTACTACAAATGTTACTACAGTCATACAAAACTTAATATAATAATCTTTATCTGCTACCATATAGACAGGGTTCATTACTTAAAGGTATGCAAACATGCCACATTAGTACTTAGCTCTATGAATGACGTGTGTGGTGTGTGTGTGTGTGTGTGTGTGGTGTGTGTGTGTGTGTGTTGTGTGTGTGTGTGTTGTGTTGTGTGTGTGTGGTGTGTGTGTGTGTGTGTGTGTTGTGTGTGGTGGGTGTGTGTGTGTGTGTGTGTGGTGTGTGTGTGTTGTGTTGTGTGTGTGTGTGTGTGTGTGTTGTTTTCTCATTGAATTGTTTGTATTCGTTTCCAGGACCTCCTTCAGCTGCAGTACAAAGGCGTGGCCGTCATGAAGATGTTCCGACAAAGCCAAAGGTCAACGTCAATTTACTCATCTTCCTCCTAAATAAAAAATTCTATGGAAAATGACAAAGTGAAGGGAGGAAAAGCAACAAAAGAGGAAACAGATTGTGCCTTCTGATTGTGCTGAGCTTGTGGAACAAAATTAATTCAGCCAGATAACACGAGATGGGGCAGGACAGTGTTTTGTATTGTACCCTCCTCTTATAATTTTAAGGATCACACCAAAATCTAATGCTGTTGTCCAACTTAATGTATCAGCTCTGTATTTTTTCATGTGGTAATTGTAAATGTAATGTATTTTTAAGATTTAAATTGTAATGATATTCATGTTTTGTATGTAAAAACTGTCCCATGTATGTTGAAACAACTGTGGATTAGTTCAGAAATCCAGCTGGGGAGCAGATTTTCAGCCGGCCTGTATCATTCTATAAAATACTGTAGTTTACCACAGTGCCTTTTAATTAAAGTGTGTAAAGAAACATGTTTTAATAAATAAAACATCAAAAATATTTAAAAGCTACAACGGATGAAGTTGTACTATGTGTTATCAAGAAGTGATTGCTAATGTTTAAATTATTTAAATGTGCAGAATAAATAACATGTTTTTTATCAACTACTTTGACTAGTTTTAGTTTAATCTGCTAACCTCCCACTGGGACACATTACTTCTCTGCAGAGAGGGAGAGACGGAGTATTTACCACAATAACATGTTTGATGCTGAAGAATAACACACTGATCCTGTCGCTCCAAGGACTTTTGTTGCACATTTTTACTTTTTTTTTTTTAAATCGACAGTTTTAATAAACGATTTCTATTTATAGTTTATAAAACAAGTTGTTTTGAAAGTTGTCAATCTTTGCACTGAAATGCCGGCGGATGTAACTTTAACATTGTTTTGTTACCATGGAAACGAGTCGGGGAGGAACGCTGAGAGCTCGTAAAAAGTTTGAACACAAACCAACGACAGAAGCAGGAGAGAAAGAGAGTCAGATCTGGAAACATTTTTAATTTAATCTACTCCGCCGTGAAAACTTTAAAAACAACAAAGAGTCATGACCTCCAAGAGCGTCCGTAAGAAGCAGCTGTTACAGCGTTCACGGTGAGTGTGTGTGTGTGTGTGGAGCCAGTGTTGTGTGTGTGTTGTTGGCGATGTGCTCTGCCTGCGTGTTGAGGTGGGAGAAGTAGGCTACTCAGATCTGGTATTTGAGTAAAAGTAGAAGTACCAGAGTGTAGGAATACTACTCTGTTACAAGTAAAAGTCCTGCATCAAAATGTTACTCAAGTAAAAATACAAAAAAGCATCAAAATATACTTAAAGGTGGGCAGTGGCGTTTTTATATGTACAAAAGTGGTGGGGCACAAAAAACGTAGATGTCTATATATAAGCTTCTGCAGTGACGTGCAGTGAGGTTCATGGCTGGTGAGGCACTGGCACTGACTCTTCAGGTTTACAAATATTATATTTTGACCTAAACCAAAATATAATATTATTTTCAAAAGCTTTTTTTGTCTGATGCTTCGATTAATTTTAAACAGACAGTTCAACAAAAGGATACCCAAAAAATGTAATTTTATCATTTAAATATTGAATTGTTCTCTCTTAGTAAGATCCCATTTCAATCAAATTGCGGTCTTACCTTGACTTGAAGATGAAGTCCATTTGCCTATCCTTCTGGACAAAAATGTCTATAACTTTTTTGTAAAAGTCCTCCTTATGTTCTTGTAGTTTCAAAAGTCTATCATAAATCTAATCCATAGATTTATGATAAAAAAATTATAAAAGTAGGGTAGACATGTGGATGTTATCCGGCTGATCAAAACGTGCATTTATCTAACAGGTACGTTTCCCACAGATCTTATTTCCAGCTATTTTCTAAAATCCTCTGGAGAAATCTCATTGCTTTTTTGTCGAGGGAAGCCATGCGCAGCTTACTTCCTGGTTTTAGGACGCGTCACTGCAGCTCTCTCGTCTCCTCTTCACACACCACACTTTTCGCGGCACACGTACTTACAGCCAATCAGCTCTGAATGATTTGAGATGACGTATGGTGGGGATGGTAGCTCCATGCCCCTCTGGTCATTATTTTTTTGCCACACACATTTCATTACAAAATACTCTGAGCATGCGCAGTGTAGTTTTTACAGTCACCGTTGACTTCACAGCGAGAGGGAGGGGCATAATCAGGTTTTGTCCCACATGGCTCTAAACAGCTCAATAGGCACACACTGTGACTGTAGACACACTAATTAGAAGAACACAGACTAAAACAGCAATGTACAGACGAATCAGATGATTAAACATGATCTTAAAATATATTTATATATTTTTTTATTTATTTTTTTGCATTTTTGTAATCATTATTTGTAATACTTTCTGCTGACACTAGGTGGGGCTGTGCCCCACCTGCCCCTAATGACCAGTCGCCACTGAAGGTGGGGTAGGTAATTTCGGAGAAACCAGCTCGAGTGCGCTAGAATTTGAAATTGCACAACCAGAGAAAATCTGCCACTTCATTACAGAGCCCCTCCTCCAACACACACGAACGCGCACATGACCAATGAGGGCACGAGATAAGTTTGTGCACAGATGGAAGGCTGACAGGCAGGTAGGCCATCCAGTTATTTTAGCCGGGCCGGCTAAAACGATTGGTCGTGCTTTTTACAGTACTGTTTGCTGTCTACGGGTCTGATTCTGCTGACCACGACCCCCTGCAGGAGAGGTGAGCCGTGCTCTGATCAGCTGCTGGGCTGTCAGAAGAGGGGGAGAAAAAGAGATCTCTGTCCTCCGTGTTTTATTATATAGAGTCGTTATTCATTTGTTTTAAAGCTCAATAAATATCAAAGAAGACCTTTGACCGGCACTTTTCTAATTTTGTCCGGAAGATTTAAACTTTAACGGACATCTTGACTGGCGAAAGAAACTGAAACTGAAACTCTGCCGCACGGTCCCCTCGTTCCTTGGAAGAGGCGGAGAGGTGGGTGTTTGTCATCTGCTGGTGGACTAACCGGAGAGAATTACAGTGCTTGCCTCGACGGGGAGGGATTGCATTGAATTAAAGCAGCGGGAGCAAACGCTTGCCTTGGGGAGGGAGAAAAACAAGCCACAGTGGAGAATAAACAGAAGGGTAACCATGGTAACTATGGGCGGGAAGTCTTCTTTGCTGCTTTTGTGGCAGACTACAGCGCCACTTACAGGCCTGGCATATGTACTACAGCGTCTCCAGCGCTTTCGAGCGGCAATGGCCGGCCGTGGCCCAACCCCCACATTCCCCTGATAGGTGGAGAGTTGGCCCAATAGCCGTAGCGCCACTTCTGTGACGACATAGAAGTGTTCAAATCTGGATCAGTCTGTATCAGATCCGTTGCAGCCCCTTTTTTAGAGATTTGGGTATGGAGGAAAATAGAGAGGGTTGTGTTTTCTGACACTTGGTGAGTTCCCTGGAACACCGGGGACACATATTCATGTATAAAAGACGTACAAAAGTGCATTTTGCATGATAGGTCCCCTTTAAATGTTTCCATCTTATGCTCTGTAAGTTTGTTTCGTAACGGAAGAAATGTAAATATATTTATAAAACGGACAAGTCAAATCAAGCAATCTGATTGGTCGATAGCGTTTTTGCGGACCTTTTTGATTACAGATTTGAAAACATCGTTGCTTGCTTTAAAAGTAGCGCAATTCATTATGTCAAACCTTGGAAAGTATCTAGATATCCCTGCCCTAATGCCAAAGGAACTGCACACTGAATATGTTTTTCCATTTGATGTCTATGTCTGGACCGCTGCGTAAAAAGGAGGGTTTCTGCCCCGTTACTTCTCCGCTGTTTTCTTGTCCAGTTTGAAAAGCAGTTTGCTTTTCAGCCCAACTGTATAGAGAGGCGAAGTCCCTCCCTTTCCGGGGGGGCTCCATGGGACCTTATTTCGGAAAATGTATGTATTGAAGTCAATGGGGAGAGAAAGATTATCTTTCGATTCCGTTTGAATTGAGCCACGAATTACACATATGATGTTTGTCAATTTAAAAGATAATTTTGCAAGTAAAAAAAATTAAAATGTGTCGTAAAACTGTGAAGTAACACTTTTTTTCTGTGAAACCGCTCAATGAACTACATCTCCCCGTCTCGCACCACACACCAAGACGGCCGTCACGTTGGCACATTTCACCTCTTTCTTTCAGAATGAGGCGAAAAGTATTAAAAGAGGTGAAAATCACTACAAGTCTGGGCATGTTGAGAGCTGTACATACACACAAGGGGAGTTAGTCGGTTCCGTAAGAGCCAGCATGCGGGACCGGGATTCTGGGATTTGTAGTCTTTCTAGTTGCGTATTTTTCATAGTCTTATATTTCAACAGTTTTACTACAAACTGTGACTTTTTTGACATGGAAATTATTTGTTAAGATTGACAAACATCATATGTGTAATTCGTGGCACAATTCAAACGGAATCGAAAGATAATCTCTCTCTCCCCATTGACTTCAATACATATTTGTTCCGAAATAAGGTCCCATGGGTCGGAAGTAGATGGGCGGGACTTCGCCTCTCAGTTTTTCTCAGACGCGGAGGGATACTGACTTGTTGTGAAAAGTAACTACAATTCTACCCGTGGTATACGCTCAGTATATCACGGCTAAGAACCAATCAGATTGCTTGATTTGACTTGTCCGTTTTATAAAGGCTATTATATGTTTTGATTATAATTATTGATGCATTAATGTGTTACCAAAGCTGGTAAAGGTGCAGCTAGTTTTAATGACATTGTATACTGCAGGGTAGCTTGTGAATTTACTCTAGGTGTGACTAAAGTGTTGATTATATTTCACATTATTGATCCAAATCTGCAAAGTAACTAAAGGTATTAAATAGATGTAGTGGAGTAAAAGTACACAATTTAAGCTACTTCTGAATTGTAGTGGGGTAGAAGTACAAAGTAGCAACACATTTATATACTCAAGTAAAGTACAAGTAACCATACTGTATGTATACAGGCGTGTGGAGGGGAGCGCTGAGCGGGCAGCAGCCCACAGGAGCTCTTCCATCTTCGATATGCTAAAAAAACGCAGTGAAGTCCAAGACCTGGACAACGAGAACCAGGAGAAGCAAGAAGTAGGTTAACAGGAACTCACGATACTTACAATAACTTATACACACACCTTCTTAAATATCCAAAACCTTTTCATGACGTGGCATTTTATTTTTATTAAAAAACAACAACATGTGTTGATCATTGCCTATAATCTGCACGATTAGTTGGATCATTATTGAGATTAGGATTATTCTTTTTTTATAAATGACAAAACATTTTTATTGCACTTTGAAACTTCAGTGTTCCTTTTTTAAAATCCAAACCACTATATCGCATTTTCTGTTGTGTTTCTACTGTATCCACAAAAATATATCCATATTTCTAACCACATACAATATATGATCTTTCAATAATATTACCAAAAAAATTAACATTTTGTAAATATTTAAGACCCTGAGCTCTGGGAAGTATCCACCAGTATTTGTAATTGTGATTCGTGCTAGTCAGTTTTCTCCAGGTATCTGCTTAACCCAGAGTGACATCCATCTAAATCCATGTATTTGTAATTCCTTCATTAAAGGTGGGGTACTGTAGGTAATTTTGGAGAAACCAGCTCGAGTGCGCTAGAATTTGAAAATACACAGTCGGAAAAAATCTGCCACTTCCTTACAGAGCCCCTCCTCCAACACACACGAACGTGCACATGACCAATGAGGGCACGAGATAAGTTTGTGCACAGATGGAAGGCTGACAGGCAGGTAGGCCATCCAGTTATTTTAGCCGGGCCGGCTCAGATGATTGGTCGTGCTTTTTACAGTAGGCCTACTACGGCTTCCACAGATGACATTTTTTATGGATTTTTTGTCAAAGCACTTAAGATATTCATTGCTATCGGGATGTTAAGAGCATTCCATGAAATATAACAAAAAGTGTATCTCGAGCCGGTTTCTCAAACTTACCTACCCCACCTTTAATAGCTCATCGTGTCAAATGCTATTATTAACAAATCGAACAGTTACCAAGTGTTGATGTTTCCCACGCAGTGTAACTTTCTGATTTAATGCTCACTGTCCTGACTTACCATCATAAATGTTCCCAAGTCATGTTTGCCTACTGTCTCATTAGGAACTGGAGAATTTGCAACAGCGTGAAGCTGAGTTGCAGGAGAAGATTAAGAAAGCTAACAAGATGAACCTCAGCTTTGAGAAGATTCTCAGGGTACAGTGAAGGACCATTTCACACACAATTCCTGTATGAAACTGTACCTAACGTTATTTGATTTTAGTGTCATAGCTGGAACTGAAAACACTAAACTAAATCTCTCCATCTCCCTCCCTGCAGGACCAGTATACTGAATGTTCAGAGAGAGCAACGAGGGAGAGGAAAGAGGTTCTTCATCTGGATGCAGAGCATGAGAGGCTGGTGGTGGAGTTAGCTGAAGAGCTGCAGAGCAAACAGGAGCGAGAGCGCCAGCTAGTGAAACTCACTCCGTACGCTGTGAACTTCGAGCGGGCGGCCAAGTTGACCAAGGTACTGCAAGGGATTTTTTTAGAAGGTAGAGAATCTAATTTAAACATGTTTATTGTACAGGAATAGTCTGTGTGTGAAATCATAACAATTACTTTTATAATTGTTTTGATCTTTCTAAATCTTGTCTCTTGATGATGTCCTCAACAGTATTCACACACATTTAATATATGGCATTGTTGTGAGGAATAACATTTCTGTCTCTTTCTTCCTCCAGGTTTATGCTATATTTAAAAAAAAAATCATGGTATGATGTTTGCAGGTGTGGTCCATAAAGTGTATTGATTAGATAATTAATTTGAAATAATGGAGTTACATTGTGTGTGGTTTCTATGTGTGTCTGTTACAGTTTAAGGATGCAAAGAGCCTCGCAGATCATACGGAGAACCTTCTCCGCATTCGAGAGAGTCACCTTCAGCAGGACCTGAAGAAGCGTGAGAAGTATGACGAGCTGAGGAGAACCCTGCAGTCAAACCAAGAACAGCATCGCCTCATGCGTCTGCAGAAGAACTACGAGCTGTCCCAGATGGAGGTGGAGCATGAGAAAGAGCGCTCTGAAGTTCTGGAATGGGTACGAGAGCTGACCCCGGGTCAAAGTCCGGCATCAAAGCTAACACCAAATCAAATGATGATCTTCTGTGTGAAATGAAGTTGTCCCTGTCCCCACACAGGAGAGGAAGTGGAACCACATTCAGGAAACCGCATCAAAGAAATCACTTCTCCTGGGACAAATCAAGATGGCGACACTCAACCTCTACGAAATGACGTGTCAAGACGAAAAGCAGATGAAGTGGTTGATATAAACGACACAGAGAAACAGCTGGACCAGGTGTGTACCCCAACAGAGCAGAGATGGAGGTAAAAAGCAGACAGAAAAATATACACTTGTAATTTTTTTACTGTCTCCTCAGGTTAAGACGTTCATGCAAGACAGCGACGACATGGTAACAATATCAGACTTCTTCACAGAGACAAGATGGAAAGAAAAGAGACAAAAAGAGCTTTCCAAGTCACAGTAAAAAAAAGGCTTCAAAGTAACCTTTACCATGAGTCTCCTCACAGCTTTAGAACTGAATTTGCTGAGATGGAACTAAATAATTAAAGTGTGTTTATCTAATGTTAAACTCTGTGAGTTTCATTAACTGTTAACTTGTAGACACTGAACTTCAATACACTTGAACACTGAATGCAATCAAATATTGTCCATTTATCTCATCATTGTTATTAAAATGGCTTGATCATAAATTCTGAAATGGTTCTGATAGTGGTAGCTAAACATTTGAGGGTGACTTTTTCATAAAGTCTATCCAGTTGCAATTTCAGATAACTTATACAGTTAGTTTATTCAATCCTAAGCTTCTCCTCTCAGCACAATATCATGTAGACTTTGAATCATCAGGATAAAGGTCCGGTGCTGCCACCTCGTGTCTCTTAAAGAAAACAGCAATCTGTTGTAACTTGTTTTATTGATCAGATCTCAGAACAGCTTCTGATGGGTCTTTGTCTTTCACGGCACTTTTGACCCCTCTACAGACATACTGTCACTTAATGGTAGGAAAACAGTGAACAATAACAAAAGATTAACATTTATATATGGACATTCAATTTTATATATTGGCCTACAGTATTATCCACAATAGTGAAATGTAACTATTTACTTAAGTACCATACTTATATTGAATGTCGAGGTACAGGTATTTTATTATTTTCAATTATATATACATTGTTCTTCTGCTCCGCTACATCTCAGAGGCACATATTGTGCTTTTAACTCCATTATATTTTGGGATAGCTGTCGGCTAGTTAACTTTAAATATGATGTTGATATATGTATGATTATGTATAAAGATGAGACGTGGTGATTTTCAGAAGCCAATCAGCATTATGGTAAAAATAAAAAGGTTGTCTGCAACATTAAAGCGATAGACCTTGATATACCTATATATCAATAGGAATAAGCCAATAATATAATATAAAATGTACCATTCTGCTCAATGAGTAGGCCTACCTTTCCCTTTTTGAACCTAAAACATTTTTGGATCCTAACCCTTTTTTTGATTCAAGTGAATCGTAGGAATTAGACAGTGAGCGGATAATAATGAAGTTTTATTCTGAAATGAATGACATGTCATGTCCTAAAGGCATTGTTGTAAAAACAGGCTGTTTTGACACCACAGTTTTCAAAACGCATTTCAGTACATCATCTTTTTTTATAGGTTTAAAAGTAGATATGTAAAATCTAAAATCACACGACTTACCAGTTTTCATAGCATATTATGATGATGATCAAAACAAAACTAGTACATTTTACATATATTTTTGCTTAAAACTAATGTTGCTGCTACTGCTCACTCTGTGCCCTCTTTGTTGTCGGGGCACAGCTCTGAAACACAGGAAGACAGAAGATAAACTTTAGGATAACACAGAAATCTTGGAGAATATCTGCAGTATTTCCATTTTTCTGATCGTGTGCATTGTACCTTATCTACTTAAAATGATCTGTATAAAAACACAATATTTAAATGTTACACCGTGTGGCAACTTGAGTACGTTCTTGTGTCCGCTTAACACACAGATTCAGCTTTGTTTTTATTTATTTATAACAGTCATTTTACTGAAGACTCACTGACCTGTTTTGCCGTCGTAGCTGTGGAAGTTCTCTGGGAAGCTCAGACACCCAACTTGAAAATGTCAACATCTTCAGGATCAATTTTTCCATTCCTTGCTGGAAAAAGGGTTGAAACTCAGAGATGAATTGTAAAATCTGATGAGGAACATACTGAACTGCAGGATGTATCTACCGGTGACGTCTCCATTTTGAAAGGTGTCCGTCCACAGCAGGCAGTCGGAGCAGCTCTGAAGGATATGACCTTTGTGGTCTGACAGATTTTCTTTAAAGACAGCAGAGCGACTGATTATATTTTTCACATGAAGATCAATTTCCAATGCTCCTACTGTAATCTTGTTAATAGCATGCTAGAGAAATAAGCTGCTTTACCTTATGTCAGGAGTTACTTACTGCGAAATGTGGTGGCGATGCCTGAGACTGTTGCATTCACCTCCCCTGAGATACACCGATTACTGGGAAACAAGAAGATGCTGGGCCAGAGTTTTGTTTTTTCAAAAGCTTCACATTTAAATAGTAAAACAATTGGTTCATTGTTTTATACCACATTTCATTCTGCAATGTTAAACTGATTTTTACTCTTATATTTTATAAATACTGCTGCTACTAACAGCGATGTGTTCTTCTGTAAATTGAAATTATTTGTATTATTCTTGTTTTAAATACTATGTGCATGCCTTTTATCTAATATTGTCCTCTCTATCTTGCTGTAACAATGTACATTTTCCCTGTGTGGAATGATTAAAGGAATGTATATCGTTTTTATCCACTACATTTATTCAATACCTTAAGTTACTTTGCAGATTTGGATTAATGATAGAAATATAATCAAAACTTACACCTGGAGTAAATTCACAAGCTACCCTGCCGTATACAAAGTAATTTAAATTAGCTATACCTTTATCAGCTGTGATAACATTTGAATGCATCAATAATTATAATCAGAACATAGAATATATATTATTCTGCTAGGGCAATTTGCACAATGAGTACTTTTACTTTTGGTATTGTAAGTTTACTTGAATGCTTATACTTTTGTACTTTTACTGGAGTAACATGTTAAACGCAGGACTTTTACTTGTAACAGAGTATTCCTACACTCTGGTACTTCTTCTTTTACTTAAGTACAATATCTTACTACTTGTCCCACCCTCCAATGCTAAACACATTGTTGTGTCTGCTCAGCTTCTGAAGTTGTGAAGTGGTACTAAAACCTGTGATTGACAGGACATTCGCTACCAAAGACGCTACAGACAGAGGAGGAAGGCGGAGCTGGTGAAGCTCCAGCAGACTCTGACAGCTCTCAACTCCAAAACAGCCTTCTACCAGGACCAGATGAACTATTATGATACTTACATCAAGACCTGCCTGGACAACCTCAACAGAAAGTAAGTCGTTCATTTACTTCTTGCACTTTGTCAGGAGAAGTTTTTAGAATTATTTATTTTCACTGTGTAAATAATGTCGTGTGGATGGTTTGGTGGATTTCAAAATGTATTGTGTTTATTACTAATGCATTCCTGTGTTTTGTGTGACCAGGAATGCACGCCGATCTATAAAGCTGGACAGCAAAGGAGAAAATAAGGGCAGCAAGAAGTGGAAGCCCCAGTCTCTGAAGTACACTGGAGCAAGGCTTCATGAGAAGGGAGTCATCCTGGAGATAGAAGGACTTCAGACCAACCAGTGAGTTATCTGATCAGCTTGGTGTTTAATGTAACTCTTTACCATGGCTCAGACTTTGTTACTTACAGTCACACAACTCTTAGTGAAGTTTCTCATTTTAGATTGTGGCATGTAGAGACGTTTTGATTACCGTGTCGATGAACACATCTATCCTCCAATCAACCTTTATATCATTAACAAAAAATGTGTGTGGGTTTTATCCAAACAAGATTATGTAGTTTCTACATACTTAAGAATATGATTATGTTTTTCCAAGAAGAGGAAAGATGTCTGTTGACTAGTTAATTAACTGGTTCCTGTTACATGTTCTTTGTTCATGCTCTTTATCGTTTTTCTGAGTTGGAAAGTTAGATTGCATCATAGTTTATACATATTTTAACGAAATATACTGTATACAAGGTAGGACAAGGTAGGTGGGGTAGGTAAGTTTGAGAAACCGGCTCGAGATATACTTTTTGTTATATTCCATGGAATGCTCTTAACATCCCGATAGCAATGAATATCTTAAGTGCTTTGACAAAAAATCCATAAAAAGATTTCATCTGTGGAAGCCGTAGTACTGTAAAAAGCACGACCAATCATTTTAGCCGGCCCGGCTAAAATAACTGGATGGCCTACCTGCCTGTCAGCCTTCCATCTGTGCACAAACTTATCTCGTGCCCTCATTGGTCATGTGCGCGTTCGTGTGTGTGTTGGAGGAGGGGCTCTGTAAGGAAGTGGCAGATTTTTTCCGGCTGTGTATTTTCAAATTCTAGCACACTCGAGCTGGTTTCTCCAAAATGACCTACCCCACCTTTAAATGTAAGGCAGACAGATATCAAATATATCCAAGCTAATTTAAGCTGATTTGAGTCCTGTGAAAAAATGACTTGTATTTTTTTAGTTTTTGTTTGTGTTTTTGTTTAATATAATAACATGGTTTTTTGCTTTGTTGTCACTTTGTCATTAATCTCTGTCTATTGCCTCTCTCTTCTTTCAGGTTCAAAAATGTCATGTTTGACATTTCACCCACTGAGGAAGTTGGAGATTTTCAAGTGAAGGCCAAATTTATGGGAGTTGAGATGGAAAAAGTCCAGCTTCATTTCCTGGTATACATTTACCTCTTGATTCCCTGGAACAAAGCAGCTCACCAGTCAGCATTAAGCCTTGATGACAGACACTTAAATGCCATTTTCAACCCATTAGACAATTAAAGAAACAGCGCAAACTATTTCTAATGAAGAGGACAGCAGTGGACACATTTGTTTTAATGAATCTGTATGAACAAACATACTGTATAAACAAAGGTGTGCATAGAGACCGGGCTGTACTACAAATGTTACTACATCAATACAAACTTAATATAATATCTTTATCTGCTACCATATAGACAGGGTTCATTACTTAAAAGGTATGCAAACATGCCACATTAGTACCTTATCTCTATGAATGACGTGTGTGTGTGTGTGTGTGTGTGTGTGTGTGTGTGTGTGTGTGTGTGTGTGTGTGTGTGTGTGTGTGTGTGTGTGTGTGTGTGTGTGTGTGTGTTGTGTGTGTGTGTGTGTGTGTGTGTGTGTGTGTGTGTGTGTGTGTGTTTTCTCATTGAATGTGTTTGTATTCTGTTTCCAGGACCTCCTTCAGCTGCAGTACAAAGGCGTGGCCGTCATGAAGATGTTCGACAAAGCCAAAGTCAACGTCAATTTACTCATCTTCCTCCTAAATAAAAAATTCTATGGAAAATGACAAAGTGAAGGGAGGAAAAGCAACAAAGAGGAAACAGATTGTGCCTTCTGATTGTGCTGAGCTTGTGGAACAAAATTAATTCAGCCAGATAACACGAGATGGGGCAGGACAGTGTTTTGTATTGTACCCTCCTCTTATAATTTTAAGGATCACACCAAAATCTAATGCTGTTGTCCAACTTAATGTATCAGCTCTGTATTTTTTCATGTGGTAATTGTAAATGTAATGTATTTTTAAGATTTAAATTGTAATGATATTCATGTTTTGTATGTAAAAACTGTCCCATGTATGTTGAAACAACTGTGGATTAGTTCAGAAATCCAGCTGGGGAGCAGATTTTCAGCCGGCCTGTATCATTCTATAAAATACTGTAGTTTACCACAGTGCCTTTTAATTAAAGTGTGTAAAGAAACATGTTTTAATAAATAAAACATCAAAAATATTTAAAAGCTACAACGGATGAAGTTGTACTATGTGTTATCAAGAAGTGATTGCTAATGTTTAAATTATTTAAATGTGCAGAATAAATAACATGTTTTTTTATCAACTACTTTGACTAGTTTTAGTTTAATCTGCTAACCTCCCACTGGGACACATTACTTCTCTGCAGAGAGGGAGAGACGGAGTATTTACCACAATAACATGTTTGATGCTGAAGAATAACACACTGATCCTGTCGCTACAAGGACTTTTGTTGCACATTTTTACTTTTTTTTTTTTAAATCGACAGTTTTAATAAACGATTTCTATTTATAGTTTATAAAACAAGTTGTTTTGAAAGTTGTCAATCTTTGCACTGAAATGCCGGCGGATGTAACTTTAACATTGTTTTGTTACCATGGAAACGAGTCGGGGAGGAACGCTGAGAGCTCGTAAAAAGTTTGAACACAAACCAACGACAGAAGCAGGAGGAAGAGAGTCAGATCTGGAAACATTTTTAATTTAATCTACTCCGCCGTGAAAACTTTAAAAACAACAAAGAGTCATGACCTCCAGGAGCGTCCGTAAGAAGCAGCTGTTACAGCGTTCACGGTGAGTGTGTGTGTGTGTGTGGAGCCAGTGTTGTGTGTGTGTTGTTGGCGATGTGCTCTGCCTGCGTGTTGAGGTGGGAGAAGTAGGCTACTCAGATCTGGTATTTGAGTAAAAGTAGAAGTACCAGAGTGTAGGAATACTACTCTGTTACAAGTAAAAGTCCTGCATCAAAATGTTACTCAAGTAAAAATACAAAAAAAGCATCAAAATATACTTAAAGGTGGGCAGTGGCGTTTTTATATGTACAAAAGTGGTGGGGCACAAAAAACGTAGATGTCTATATATAAGCTTCTGCAGTGACGTGCAGTGAGGTTCATGGCTGGTGAGGCACTGGCACTGACTCTTCAGGTTTACAAATATTATATTTTGACCTAAACCAAAATATAATATTATTTTCAAAAGCTTTTTTTGTCTGATGCTTCGATTAATTTTAAACAGACAGTTCAACAAAAGGATACCCAAAAAATGTAATTTTATCATTTAAATATTGAATTGTTCTCTCTTAGTAAGATCCCATTTTCAATCAAATTGCGGTCTTACCTTGACTTGAAGATGAAGTCCATTTGCCTATCCTTCTGGACAAAAATGTCTATAACTTTTTTGTAAAAGTCCTCCTTATGTTCTTGTAGTTTCAAAAGTCTATCATAAATCTAATCCATAGATTTATGATAAAAAAATTATAAAAGTAGGGTAGACATGTGGATGTTATCCGGCTGATCAAAACGTGCATTTATCTAACAGGTACTGTTTCCCACAGATCTTATTTCCAGCTATTTTCTAAAATCCTCTGGAGAAATCTCATTGCTTTTTTGTCGAGGGAAGCCATGCGCAGCTTACTTCCTGGTTTTAGGACGCGTCACTGCAGCTCTCTCGTCTCCTCTTCACACACCACACTTTTCGCGGCACACGTACTTACAGCCAATCAGCTCTGAATGATTTGAGATGACGTATGGTGGGGATGGTAGCTCCATGCCCCTCTGGTCATTATTTTTTTGCCACACACATTTCATTACAAAATACTCTGAGCATGCGCAGTGTAGTTTTTACAGTCACCGTTGACTTCACAGCGAGAGGGAGGGGCATAATCAGGTTTTGTCCCACATGGCTCTAAACAGCTCAATAGGCACACACTGTGACTGTAGACACACTAATTAGAAGAACACAGACTAAAACAGCAATGTACAGACGAATCAGATGATTAAACATGATCTTAAAATATATTTTATATATTTTTTTATTTATTTTTTTGCATTTTTGTAATCATTATTTGTAATACTTTCTGCTGACACTAGGTGGGGCTGTGCCCCACCTGCCCCTA